AGCCAGAGCACAACTAAGTGCAGTACAGCCATCTTCTCAGAAAAACTTTTCACAAAGTTCAAGAGGTCAAGACACGAAGGCTTGAGCAACTAATTCACACCTAATGACCCACCTAAGTGGTACTCAGAATATCACTCAAGAAATCACTCAAGATATCCCTCAAGTAATTAAGGAACAAAAGAAGAAAAGGCACACTAGCCTGGGAACTTCCTCTCTGCCCAGAACATTGGAGGCTATACACCACACCCCCTCAACAGTATTTATAGGAACTCAAACACTGAGATCCTGCTCTGTTCCAGTAACAAGAAGCCGAAAGCACCAGCCTGAAGATGACGAGTGAGACCTCGTCGAAACGTCGCCTAGACACCCCAACTTTTACACGGAAAGACACCCGAGGACACCAAAACCTGCATTCCTGTACCCGTGAAAATCTACGAAAGCAAATATTTATATTTATATATATATATATATATATATATATATATATATATATATATATTTGCTTTCGTAGATTTTCACGGGTACAGGAATGTAGGTTTTGGTGTCCTCGGGTGTCTTCCCGTGTAAAAGTTGGGGTGTCTAGGCGACGTTTCGACGAGGTCTCACTCGTCATCTTCAGGCTGGAAGTCATCTTCCAGCCTGAAGATGACGAGTGAGACCTCGTCGAAACGTCGCCTAGACACCCCAACTTTTACACGGGAAGACACCCGAGGACACCAAAACCTACATATATATATATATATATATAGTCTCCAGTAGCACCTTAAGAGACCAACTAAGTTTGTTCTTGGTACGTATAAGCTTTTGTGTGCATGCACACTTCTTCAGATACCTAGTAGTGCTAGTGCATTAGTTCCTTCCTCAGAGTCATGGCATTACACAGAAAAGTATAAAAGCTTTTTATGTCTTCATCAAATAATGACTGCCACCCATTATCTTCTTGTAAAGTAATGTCAGCCTTCACTTCTACAATGACGTGAATTCTCCACTCTCTTCTAATATAAGTATCAATAGAAGTATAATAAGCATGGTGCTAAGTCTGATTATTTTCCTGTCTGGGAAATACTTTTTCAGGGAGGGTGGTTTCTAGTAATATTTTGTCCATGTTTTCTGGAGAAAGTACAGTGGTAGGGAACCTCTGCATCAGCAGGATTTGACTTGGAAGACCATTTTCACACCAACCTGCTCTACATCTCAATTGTGGGCTCAAAGCAATTTTGCAGGCTCTGCTAATCAAATGTACCTCAGTGTTTGCCAAATCCCTGTGCCTAGGCTAATTGTGGTTTGATTTATAATTTAAATGCAATAGATACATTTGTGCTGCGTTTCCCTCCTAGAAACAAGTGTTAGCAGTTGGGAGGATGACAGTCCATGGACTCTACAGTATTCCAGCCCAGCCTCCTTTTTATAGATATATGGAATGGAATGGAAATGCACCCCATGTTCTGCATCTGCCATCCAAATTGTGATTTAAGCCAGTTTGAAGGTAAGCATATACAGTGGACGCTCGGGTTGCAAATGTGATCCATGTGGGATGCATGTTTGCAACCTGCAGCGTTCGCAACCCGCAGCCGTGCGCCTGCGCACACGAGTTGCGATTCAGCGCTTCTGCGCATGCGCAACCCCCAAAACCTGGAAGCAACCCGTTTTGGTACTTCCAGGTTTCAGCGGGTCCGTAACCTGAAAAAACGCAACCTGAAGTGTCTGTAACCCGAGGTATGACTGTACATATGTATTGCTACACACTACCCCAATCTCTGAGTGGTGCAAGATTCCAGGGGTTTCTAGGTGCTTACCCAGGGTTCATGTTTCATTCAGGAAATGAGGGGTAGCAGAGACTGTAGTGTCTTTATGATATATGGTTTATTTACACATATATACAACCTGGGACTACAATGGAAAGGTTCTCATCATCACACTCCAAGAGGATCTAGCTTCCTCCATAGCTGCAGCCTTGGATTCAAACAGAAATCCAACATGTTCTCAAACATGGCTCTGACCCTCTCTCCAACTTGCTGCATTTTACAGACTGCAACATTGCTGCAAAAACCCAATCCTAAAGTCACCTCTAAAACTCTACCTCAAAACTCTCCTTTGTCTTCCAAACTAAATCTGGGTTGAGGAACGGACCCCTCCCATTTTCTGACTGGCAAAAAGTGCCCTCTGTCTGGCTTTCCTAATGGCCCATTACCTTCCCTTTGGCAACCAAATTTAACACCCCAAACACTGATTAAATTCTAACACCTATCAGACCCAAGAATTTAGGGGAATCTTGTACCCACAACTCATAACACTATTATTACAAAGACAGTAGCAAATAATGACTGTTAGTGCACACTAGAGGCAAAAACATTCCTCTTCTTCCAGGCCTTTTGCTAATAAAACAATCTATGGCCTTTTAAACTCTGGGGGTTGGTTTTTTATTGTTGCTACTGTTATGTATTTTTGTGGTTTTAATATTTAAAACGGCCCAGTGATCCTCAGATGGGTAAATAAATAAATAAATAAATAAAATAAAAGTAACTCGCTGGTAGGCTTGAATTTATACAGTTCTTGTGTCAATTTTTTCTTCTTCTCAGCCTCAGAGAGTCTCAATACATCCCTTACCTGGGTGGGGATGGAAAGGGTGGGGTTGGAAAATAGGTTTTACAAGGTAATACCGAAAGGCAAGAGACACATCCTGCAAGCAGAGAACTGTGATACCATCAAAATGAAATCAACAAGATTCATTCTGGCTTTTACTGTACACCAAAAAGCGTCCTTAGCAAGTGACTTGTGAAAGAAGACGTTTCCATGATGCAATCTTTCTATCGTGGAGGAAGGCCACAATCATTTTTTGTGTTTAATGGAGGGAGTGTTTAATGACGCGAGAAGAACATGGTTGGTAGATTCCTATGACCGATATCCTGACAATGTTTCTGATGAACGTGGCACATTGGCATGTTGAATTTTCTACAGATGGGCCGTTCCCCTGACACAAGGCCACACTGACTAAGCTTTATCCCTATCCCATTAATTATTTACCTTGTATTTTCAGTTTTTTTCTGAAAGGGGAGAAACCAAGCACGAAACTCCAAACCACATTAATTTTACTTATAATTGCCCTGAACAATACAAATGTTACCTAACCCTTTTAAATATTTGCCTAGTAAAGCATTTTCTAATCACAGAACTATTTTACTTTCTAAAATTATTTGGAATGATATTAGTAGAATGATATAGTTTAGTGCATTCCATTCTTGGCCCCAGTTACAAAGTTACATGTAAGGATGCCAACCGCTTGAGTTATTTAATACTTGAGTACAGAAGACATTTGTTGATCAAATACTGAAAACTTAAACTATGCAACAGCTGAAAGTTAAGGAAATATTATACAATGGGAAGAATCAAGGTAATCAGGCATTCTTTTTCTCATGCTGCAAACAATACTTTGCAAAATAAGACTACCAGATTATTTACCAAGACTTCCTGAATGCAGCATTTCAGTGCCCAGATTATTATCTTTACATCCAGCTAATATACCATGCTTACAAAGAAGAACCTAGCAATTGGACCTTACTTATATTCACATCCTAACCACAATTCAGCACACAGTTAAGATGATCTAATGAAATCAGTAGGCTTAAGGCTATGATCCTTTGCAGAGTTGCTAACAATCCCTTTGCACCCTGGAAATCTACCTAATTTGATGTTTGACTGAAGTGTCCCAGGGTGTAAGATTAGCATTCTAAAAAACAATACATGACCAAAAACAGATATATAATTATATAATGCTAGCAAAATGCTTAACATTTCAACAAGTGAGTCACTTCGAGGAAAGGCTTGTATATTAAAGGGTAGCAGGGGCACCCCACTTCACCAACTACCTCGCCCCAATGTTGCCTGATATCAGGTAGCATCCCAACAGAGCTAAATGCCCAATGGCCTCTACCCTCTGCTTTTTTCCCTTCTTCCCATCTCTCCCCGCCCCGCCCCCCATCTCCAAATGATTGCTTCATGTACCCTGGCAACAACATGCACCCTTCGAGCCTGTTCCTTCAGTCCAGAGGATCTGAATGAGGAAGGGCTATTGTGTCTGAGCTTTTCAAGTTCCCTGCTCCCTACTGAAAGTCCCATTCTGAGGGCAGCTGAAGCCAGATCATAACAGTGTGAGGCAAAGGGATTCCTACTTCCCACACCCTGGCAACAAACATACAAACACATGTGGCAATATCAAAGTCCTTATTGCATAGCATCTGGGGTGGAGGAGATCCTGAAAGGGAAAGGCACAGACTGTGTGGGACTGCAAACCAGCCATCATCATTGGTTATTTTCTGTACTGCTTTTTGGTCATAGCCTCCAAAGTGATGAACTGATTACTACAAACAAAATATAGCAAAACTACAGTAAATACAAAAGCACAATGCAATAAATATAAAATAAAATAAGATAGCAACAACCCAGACATACTAGCAGTGCTCTTGTGAGTTACAGTGGTTTGACAGAACCCAGGGTAGCAGGAACACTTTCACCTGCTGCATAACTATTACCTGGGAGTAAACGTAATTTAATTCAACAGGACTTACTTCTGAGTAGACACGGTTAGGCTTGCGCTGCAAAGAACTCAGCGCAAGGCCTAGTGATCTCTAGGACCACCAGATCTAGTAATATCTCTCATTTTTCAAGTGTTGTTCTTGGCCCCGTGGTAAATATTGGGGGGGGGCTTGGAACCCTAAAACACCCAACTATAATAAAAGGGTGAGGAAATAAGGAGTGGGTGCAGCCTGCCTAACAAAGGATCTGAAGGAGTAACCGCGGATTTGGGTTGAAGCCGCAGCCCTCTTGTCTCCAGCGAGACCCCCCTCCCGTAAGTACTCTTGAGGGGAAAGGACCCTCTTTCAGAATAGACCCCTTGAAAGCAGCTATAGGGCGATGGTGGCGGTTGTTTTCTGAACGAGAAGCGTCTGGAACAGGAGCAGCCTTCGTTGGGGGGCGGGATGCTCGAGAGGGACCCAGCCAGAGGCCAAACGCCCCACCGACCGTCCACGATCATCCACAGCAGAAATAGAAGGCGGCGGCTTAACTACCGGCGGCGGCGGCTGCTGCCGTAATCCGAGGGGACCCGGAAGGAAGGAGCCGGCGAGGGGCGGAGCGGAGGAGAGGAGAAGAGCCGAGCGGAGCGGCCTCGGGCTCCTGTGTTGGTGCCGGGCGGAGCTGAAGACGGACTGGCCCGGATCCCAGGCTCTCGGTAGCGGGTGAGTGGCGCTTGGCGGCGGGGCTGCCGGCCGGGAGGGAGGGAAGGTGGTTGGCCAGGGACTGGCTCCCCTTTCTCTCGCCGCCTCTGGCCTGTCCTCCCCACAGAGCCCCGCGACGACTCTCCGGCCCCATAGCCCCTCTCTGCCCGGTCTGTCCTGCTAGCCATATGCTCCCACCTTACCTCTGCTGCCCCCCACCCTGTGCCCAGTCCTCTCTTGCCCGACCCCTTGGCTCTGCTTGTGCCCTTAGTGCTGTCTCTGATATTTGTTTGCCCCTTCCCGCAAAAGATCCCTTCTGTCGCCCCACTGATTGTTTCCCCTTCCCACTAAAATAATAACAATAATCTCGTGCTGTTTCTTCCCCTCTCCTTTTGTCACTTGCCCCCAATACCCCCGCACCCTCCCTGTCTCTCGATTGCCTGCCCCCCTCTTTATTTCTTTATGTTCTTCCCTGTTTTGTTTATGATGGTGGTTTTTATTTATTTATTTTAAAATAGATGTTGGTGGCTCCGTAGTTCATTAGTGCTGTCATGCATTTTGCCTAAGTAAAGGACACTTGCAATTTAGAAAGGAAACCAAGTATTATTAGGTGCCTTGCCCAGTTGTCACATGATGAGTCAGTGCAGGGAGTACGAAGGGTGAAACTGGGTTGGTGATTTGACTAGTAGTAACCTTTGCTGCTGTCACATATCAAGTTGCCACTAATGAATCAGTGCTATAGCACACATAGCGAGCTAAAACATGTGTGGCGGTTTCTGTTTCTTTCACCCTTGACAACAGTTCTGTGAGGTAGGCCCTTGTCATTTCCATATACGGATGCGGAGCTCATAGTGATTTGCCCAAGTAACCTCCCACATAAACATAAGTCGGGTCAAGCCAAGTGCACTACCTCTGGACCAAGCTGGCAAGCTGTGCCCATGGCCACACATATTCTCACTCAGGACATGATGTTCTCAGATAAGATGTTAGTTGGCAAATTCTTCCAATTGATAATTATGAAACAAAAGGCTTAATACTGATACATTCTCAGTGGTGGGAAGCTTGGAAGAACTTGGCTTAATTGAAAATTAGAAACTGCTGCCTTGGTGCTGGTGGGCTATTATAGTGTAGTATATATAGCAGGTTGGGAGAAGGAGAAAGCACATGCCATAATTTTTATAATAACCTTTTTTGTCCCATCAGCTATTTTGTACAGAATTAAATGCATACATGAAGTGATAAATAGCCCATAAACTTATAGTTTAATATTTTGTCCACTCTTCACTGCTGTTTCTGGGGCATCTGAAGTTACTTAGAGTAGGAGTGATGAACCTTTGGCTTTCCAGATACTACTGTATTAGACTCCAGCTCCCATCAGCCCCAGCCAGTATGACCAATGGTCAGGAATGATGGGAGTAGTAATCTAGCACCATCTGGAGTATCACTGGTTCCTGCAGCGCTCTACCCTAGAAGCAAATCAAAAGTATTGTTGGATAGCAATCCTAACACTACTTGCACCAGGAAGGAAATCCCATTGAACTTTGTTTGCTTCTAGCAAATACAATTATAATTTAGCTATTAAGAAGTGCTTCCGTTTGCTTGTTTTCCTACAACTGGTATTAAAACACATTTCATTACTCAACCAGCTCATTAAAATGTTTTCATGCTTCTTATGTGGAAGTCAGGCTAGGAGGCTTTTCCTGGGGACTGTGTTCCTTTGTTAAAAATAATAGGTATGGATATTAAGGTTGTTTAATACAAATTAGTTCCCCCTGAACATGCTTTAACTATGTAGTGTTTGTAATCAGGATTTTCGAGACTCACCCTCCTACTTTTAAATTTGTTTATCAATGAAGTAGGAATGCAGATGTTTGGTGGCAGGAATTTTAGGTGAATTAATTTAGAACAAATGAGTGAAAATTTATGCATGTGTCAGAAGTTCAAAAAATGAATTGTACCAGAAGGCAAACTGAAAAATATTATTCACTGATATAAAGCTTCATATATTTCTAATATTTAATGTGAAAAAGAAGGCAGGCATTGTGTTACATTGGTAGAAAGTTACAAAGTCTTCAAAGATTAACAACAGCAAAATAGTATACAAGAAAGAGGTCTGTATTTAAAGAAAACATCAATTACTTGTAGAATGTAATGCATACCAAATCAATATGCTAGTATTTAAATGGACTCTGGAGTGCACTAAACATTAACCACGCGTCTATTTAAAATTGTAAGTCCTGCTGTGGGAATCTGTAAGAAGTTGTTTCTTACTAAGAAGTAATTTTGCAATCTTAGTCATATGTAGGTCACTGTAGGTCAGGCATGGAAGTTTCACTTTGATTTCCTAACATTTAAGAATCTGATGACATATGTCAGTGTAGATTATTTTGCATTACTAACTCTACCTTTTTTGGGTGGAAGGAGCATTAGGTGAAATGGAATGAATCAATAAAAAATGAAATTCATTCAAGGTAAATTGAAACAGTATTGAATTACTTTTAGTTGATCACTATTACCACCTCATTATATAATGAATACAGAAGTGCCACCATCTCTCTGATGGTGAATCTAATTGGCATTTAAATCATTGTGTTTAATCTGTTATACATATATACCACTACAAAGTGCAATGAAGCGGACTAGCTTTTTAAGAATGTGTAAAAAATAAGTGTTTGCATGGCATGACCTATGTACTTGCTTAGCTTTAGTAGTAGTGCAACTTCAATAAAGGTTGCTGCTTACATGTTGAAAGGTAGGAATGCAGTTGTGTTAAAAGGTCGAGACAGAGATGATAGAGACACAAGGCAGCCAAACAATTGCAACGCCACTCCCAAGGTGTCCTTATACTTCTGATTACTCAAAACTAATCAGTGAATGACAGGGGTTGGATTACTAAATGATTGCCTTGAGCCTTCTGGTATGTTTCTTCCAAATCATCCAGCATTGGCCATGGTCTGAAAGTGACAAAACACATTGAGTGCCATACATAGAAAACTAACACACAAACACACACCTCTACTAGCCCAGCCATATGTTCTTACAAAAGGTCACATACAGTACATAATAGTTATAAAATGTTACTTGAAATGTATATTATATGCAACAGTTATTGTGACTCATATTACACCACAATGTGCAACTTACATACCGTAAATATGTTGTCATATGTGTCATTTAAATCCCTTCTTAGGACTGTCATAATTCCTTCCCTGAAAATTTAATAATTATTGGGCCTATAATTTGTACCATGTAGGGCATTTTATGGAGGTTTTGTAAGAAGCTTACAATCTGAAAGACAGGTCGGATGAGGAGTGGATATATGTTACTGCTTTCAAGAGAGAGACAATCTATTTAATAGTTGGATAACCTTTTAGGTTAATTATTAGTAAGTTCAAACTAGGTGTGGTTTGGAAAAGTGTAGAATTGATGTTGCTACTAGAATCCCACCCCATTTCTTGAAGCATATAGGGGCTTCTATCTTCTCCTCAGATATATCCCCCTCACACAAAAAATACCTCAGGAGCTGAAGATATCTTGCCTTGCCATAGGGAGCCGTAAAGGTTGAAAACAGGCTTGAACAAAGTGTATATGAAGTTTTCAGGTAATTTAAAATAAGCCACAAGCACAGGAAATACTTCCCCTATGGAAAATGTGGTTATCCTGAAAGAAAGTGCAGAAGCAGAAATAGTCGCTGAAGTATTGGTGGCAGCTGGCAACTTTGTTGTTAAGTTTGAGGCAGGGAAATTGAAATGAAAATTTGTTGGCCAAATGATGCCAGATTATATTCATCAATATGAAATAATCATCTTAAAAAGGGGATTTCTGTGACCTTTGTTTTCCCTGCAAATGATGATAAATGTTGGGTTGAAAAGAAACAAATAATGACATTACAATTTCCCACATGGACTTGATGCTGACCTACAACTTGTCAATGCATAGTTAAATGTCATATACATAGGCTCTTGCTTTGGAGGCATTTATTTGTAAGTGTCTGTCATTGAATTGTAACAAGTTATAGTGGTCACAGATTATTTGACAGAAAACCATTTTTCCACAGTTCCCAAGAAACATCAGCATATGTTTGACTCTTGTCCATGAAACAATAGCTTTTTACATATATTGCTGCAGATGGATTTCTTTTTTTGATTGTTTTTTTTTAAAGACAATAACATTATTGAAGTTATAGGTAAATTCTTAAGGTTGCAAGATTGTCATGTTGGTCACATCTTTTTAAAAAACAAGAAAAATGAATTATTTAAATTAAACATACTTCATGATTTTGTTTTGGAGGGAAGATCAATAAAGTTACCATACAAATAGTTTAATGTTAATTGGAGTTCAAATAATAGTAGCTAAAACGTAAATGTTATGTACATAAGCTTCCAGGTGTTATATTGGTCACTATGGAATTACCCTTCAATAATAGAGTGGCAGTATTCAAACTGTGTTCACAAAACTTTGGAATTCCATAAAAGCTTGGTAGCTCCACAATGATAGGATTATTAGTGGTGGGTGAGCTGTCTGATAGACAGTTTGTCTGTCATCATTAGTATTGCCTTGCAATGTGCAGCTGTGAAAGGGTTGAGGTGTGTGTTCTAGGAAGGCCTGTCAGCACATATGGGGCAATGACTAGGTCGAAACAGTAACACACAAGGATTCAATGGAAGATGAGCAGAGATTCTGTGAACAGCAATATGAAATGGGATCACTGAAGGTCTGAGAAATTTGAACCTCAATGGTATAGATCACTATGACTATGTTCATTCACACGGTGCAGATGGAATAGTTAGAGCTCACTGTTTGTTTATAGCTCCATCAATGCACAAAAGTAATTTGCAAGGTATGAGTGGCATGGGCCCTGTCCCATGGAGCTTACAATCTAAAAGTTGATACAGAGGACAGGGAGGGAAACAGAAGTGGTGTAAACAAGATGTACATGATATAATTTCATTACTTGAGCATAGTCAATTTCTTAACTATAGTTAAGAGACTGGGTGTGAGCCATTGCAGGCTGGGTGTCA